ACAAAAATAACAAAACAAAAGCAAATGAAGACATTAATACACAAATACACAAAACAATGTTTGCAGCAAAAGAATCTGTGATTTTGTTCAAAAAAGTTTTAAATTCTTTATTCTGTTCAATTTTTAAATCAAAATAATTTAATATCCTGTTCATACCGTTTGAACTTTTCCATATTTTTTAACATTATGACAAACAAATATTTATTGGAACTTAATATGGAAGACCAGCACAAAGTGCTTTATAGTAGAAAGAAAATTATGCAATATTCAAAACATTTTTTTACAAGTAAAAAACTGAAAAGTGTGGTGTGAAAACAAATATATGTTTGCACACCACAAGGTGTTCCAAGGGTGTAAAAACTTTTGTAAGCCACTTTAAAAACGAACAAAACACAGAAAACGTTTATTTTAAAAATCAATACGAAACAAAACAGGAAACATTTTTTTTTAAAAAAGGAGAACATTTCCACCAAGAAGCTCAGACATTTTCAGATTTATCTCTAAAATATTCTAGACAAAACAAGAACATTTCAGAGTTTGAAATGTTGAAAATTTGCTTTGCATTTGTAGAAATGTCTCAGATACAAAACTCAAAAATGTTCAACTTTTGAAAAACTAGGAAAATATAGGAGGGTTTTTTCAACACTTTCTGAGATTAATCTCAAAACTAAAACTTTTTCAAACAAAATTCAAATATTTGAAATGTCATTTAATCTCATTAAGATCATTTTAGATTCATTTAAACGTTTCACATTTTTTTCTAGAAAATTTTCCACTTTTCAAACTTTCTAAAAAGGTTCTCAGATATTTTGGTCAAATTTTAATCCTCCTTTTTAGTTTTTCTGTTTTAGCCCTAATAGGCTGCCGTAGACAAAGACCCAAACAGGCTGCCCTGCATTATGCCTGACTTATTTTCTGATCTTTCGTCTTAATTGAAATTATATTAAAACAAAAACACACCCAGCCGCCATGTGTGCTCATGAATATTCATGAAGCGGGAAGCCCCGCCCACATTTAACCCTAATTAGGAAACCAGGCTGCAGCTCATCTAGGATAATTTATGCTGGATTTCCTAAGTGGGTCGCGGTCCCGCTGAGGGACAGCGGACAGGATGAGCTCCGGTCTAGTTCAAGTTTTTATGAAGCCAATAAAATGAAGCTGATGATGATTCATGACTCAGCTCCGCTTTAACCCTGCAGGAGCAGAAACGTTTTAATGTTTTTTATCTTCGGTTTTTTAATATTTGATCAGTTTTTGTTTTTTATCTTTATGTTTATAAACTTCTGATTTTAGTCCGTTTCTGTTTCATTTCATCTGCAGCTGCATCCCGTTTCTCTTTGGAAAACTTGAGTCTCAGACAAGTCCAAACGGGTCAGAACCGCAGCTGTCCCATTCCAAACATTCCTGCACAAAACTGTCTGCCTGCTGGAGATCTGCTGCTGGGAGAACTGGGACAACTGGGAGAAACCAGCAGGAAAAAGGCTCCGGCCCGTTGAGCAACATGTTGACAGGAACGACGGGAGGAGAGGCGGGTGTGTTTGGTTTCCATGGATACAGCAGAGGCCATTAGTGACGCTGGGTGGTTGCAAACATGTCGGACAAAATGTGCCGCGATTTTACGACCGGAGCGTCTTTTATAAAATCCAATATGACAGATCAATAAATAATCACTTCTGAAGAAAAATAAAAATCTCATTTCATTTAGAGTTATTTCACCGATTATATTCCATCTGGTTGTTTTGTAAAATGTGTCAAATTTTAACCAGTTATTACTTTTTAATTATTTGGAAGACTTTAATTGTGATTAATAATGAATTAGATGTGTTTATTTATGTAAAGTAGTTTTGAATCAAACAAACCAATCATATGTCAAAGTATTGAGCAGAATTTCAACAGAAAGTTAAAGGCTCAGATAAAACTTTCTGGTTTGTTTTAATGGAGCTCAAGTTGGTTGTTTTCATTTACAATTTTTTTGTAAATAATTCATGAATTCAAATTAAGTTTGAATTCATGAGTTTAGCATATGCTAAACTTACAATCCAGCTAATGCTAAATAGTTAGCTATACATAGTTTAAACAAATCATTTAATATTTATAAACTGATATGGTTGCTGTGCTGAATTTTAAGATAGCTAGGCTAAAACATTAGCACAGAAATTTGGCTAGTTTTTGCTAAACCTTGAACTCTTAGCATTTACTAAACTTTAGCTGCTTACCTATTAAAATTAATTAACTTAAAGTAAGTTAGTTCAAACTATTTTTTATAAAACAGTTGTAAAATAAAAACGATGCTAATTTTAAGTTATGCTAAAATTGAACTGTTAGCTAATGCTATTTGCTAACGTTTAAGCTAAATGCTGAAAAACATACTCTTAGCATCAGCTAACCTTTATTATTTTTGAAAATGAGAATTCAATTCTTGGTTCTTGGATTTTTTGCTATGCTTTACAATAATTTGAATTAAAACATGTTTATTATAGCTTGGTGAAACAATAACCTTAATTTATGGTTAAATAATCTGAGGTTTCCCTGGAGAAGTTTCCATATTTCATCTGCTGGTGTTTTCTTCCACTTTGCTCCTCAGTGATGCTGATATGATTCATCACATTGATTTATTTAATAAAACATGATTTTTTTTCTCCAAATGAAGGCAGAAAGTTCAGCTCCGGGGATCTCCAATAACTGGATTATTATCAGAAACCGACTCATAAATGTTTTAAACTTTTATAGACAAGGCCAAACATTCAGGAGATTATCTGAGCGTCTCCACTCAGTTCTGGTTCTGCAGGAGTTTGTTCTGAAATCAAACAGTCGAGGTTCTGAATGAACGTTTGTGTGAAGTCCCTCAGTTCAGCTCCACTCCCTCCACATCCTGTCAGTCGGGGATTTCCACTCCAAGCAGCCAACATGGCCGCCGGAGCCGGCTCTGGGAGACGGAGGTCTTCCTCTGTGTGACGGGGTCCTGAAGTCGACCTGCTCATGTAAAATTCAGCAGTTTCCCCGTTCAGCTCAGAATCTGCCGCAGGTTCATCGGCCGGTCAGCAGAGCGAAGTCTGTTTCAGATAAAGCAGCTCAAACCAGAAACAGGCTTCGTCTGGAGAAAATGGATGACTGCAGATTTCTGAAGAAACATTCAGTTTCAAGAGTTTCAGAGGAACTGGAAAGATTTTTAATGTGCATACAGTGAGTTAAACCGGCATTTATGTTCCCTTTTTTTATAACGCATTATATATTTTCCATCCTTTTTATGTCACAATTAAGTAACTTTGTTTCTTTGTTGTTCTAAAAATGCTTTCTGGCTTAAAATACATTTGACTTCCTGATTTAACATCTTGAAATTGGGCCTCTGTCTCTTTAAGAAGCTCCTGCTCTTTCTGAAGCTCCGCCTCCAGGAAGTCATCCAAACATGGCTCCTCTAATAACCCTTTAACGTTTTTACCAGCGTTGCTCTGAGATGAGCTCAGCAGGTGTTTGCTAATTGCTGCTGGCTAGTCTGAAGGAGCTGGCTGGGGGAGGAGCTGCGTCTCAGAGGCGGGGTTAGGTTCACCCTGGCGTTTTTGGAAAGCTGATTGGTTGCCAAAGTGATGAAAGGATTTCTCAAACATTAAAGAATCAAAACAACACTCCATTAATAAAATGAAAACATGATGGAAAGATTAAAACGTTGATTTTATGTGACACTGGCCCTTTAAAACCAGATTACATCCTTTTAACTGTTCATGTTTTACCAGGTGAAACTGTTAACTTATTTCTACCTGGTTATTCGTCACCAAATCAATTTAGTTAATAAAATATGCACACAAAGTTTACCAAGTTTAACCTGGACTCTGTCAACAGAGAAAAGTCTGATTTCTATAGATCTACCTGAGTGTCAGAAACCAGGTAACATCCATCCACATCCACATCCACATCCATCCACATCCACATCCACATCCATCCACATCCACATCCACATCCATCCACATCCACATCCAACCACATCCATCCACATCCATCCTGTCGGATCTCTGCTGGTCTCATGGATCTCCAGCTCTGATCTCCTGGTGATTCTGAATCATAAAATCTGTGAATTATTTTAATTTTAGAACCAAAGTTTGTTCTAAAGTTTTGAGTTAATGGAAATTAAAATGCGCACTAAATTGAAAAACATCTTCTTTGCTACTTCCTGTTGGTGTTTAACAAAGAATCCCTCCAGAGCAGATGGTAGTTAGTATTCAAAAGGATATTAATATGAACACATGGAGAAGCCGCATTCAGATATTCTCTGAAATGATCCATCAATATCTGCATTTTCATTTCAAATGTTAACTAAACTTTCACTAATGTCAAAAAACAGTTTTGTTGTTTCCATTGAATAAGAAATGTGAATAAGTTTGTTCTCGCAATGTCATAAAAACGTGCTCCAACGACTTCCTGTTGTCTTCTTTGTGGTTTCTGTCAGTAGCAACATCCTGTTGATCATTTGACTTGTGATGCCGAAAAAGCTTTTCCAAATTAAACCAATTTCATTACAGTCATGAAATCAGCTCATACCAAAACCTTTTTTTGGAAAACAAGTTTTTTCTAAATTTCTGTGTTTCCATTAAGCAAATTAATTCATAAATGTCAAACAGCACAATTACATGGTGAACGGAAACACAGATAGTGAGGATTCAGATGAATACCAGAGCAGAAGAAAAGCTTTCAAATTGTTCAGTTTGAGTTACTAACATTCTGAGCTAGGCTAGTGCGCTAAGCTAGTGCGCTAGGCTAATGTGTAGAAGCTAGGTTAGCTCTGTTGCGTCCAGTTCAACGTATCAACTATAAACTTAGCTTAAAGGTACACATATAACAAAATGCTGAACTAAAAAAGAGCTGGAATATTTTAATAAAAAACATCTATTATAACATTTTAAGTTTGTTTACTGAAAGGCTGAAAGTAGAACCTGGTTTGTTGAACTGCAGCTAAAACTTGTTTTTCTGCTTGGACTAGGACGTTAAAACACAAAACACGTCACACAGAACCATAATGTTCATTTTATTCTTTTAATGACAATATTCATCAGAACGGAGCTGATATCTGTTTTTGGGGCTGGATGAGGCTAGCGTTGGGCAAACTGAAAGAGTTTTTCCATGCACAGACTTTCCATCTAGACTTGCTGAATCTAGAAGTTTCTGTCTAACCTAGATGGATGTTGAAGCGGTCTACAGTTGGCTCTGAGCGAATACGTTTGAGGAAAATTTGACCTTTGGCCTTAAAAGCAAAACAAAAACACAACAGTCTCACTGATGACAGCAATACTGCAGCATTCATGATCACACATTCCGAAAACCATAAAAATAATATCTGAGACTTTTATATAAATAAGACAAAAATCCGCAGATGCTCCAGAGTTCAGAGGTCATCAGCGACATGCTGAGCAGGAAAGTTGAGGATGTGTCCAAACCTTCTCAGCAGCATGCCAGTGAGGGAATGCATGTGTCGGGCTACGCAGCTAGCATTCGCTACCATTGGAACTGGGAACGCTGGAAATCCTGCCTCTGTGGAGCGTCAAGGCTTCGCTGGCTGGATGGAGAGCAGGCTGCCGAACTTAAAATGCTGGATCACTGGGAACTTCTCCAAACACTGAAAACACGACAGAGAGCAAGACGGATTAGCAACAGGAGCTAAAACTGCTGCTATAATGGAGGAGAACAGGCTAACGAAGAACAGGCTAACACAGAACAGGCTAACGAAGAACAGGCTAACACAGAACAGGCTAATGAAGAACAGGCTAACACAGAACAGGCTAACACAGAACAGGCTAATGAAGAACAGGCTAACACAGAACAGGCTAAGGAAGAACAGGCTAACGAAGAACAGACTAACACAGAACAGGCTAACAAAGAACAGGCTAACGAAGAACAGGCTAACGAAGAACAGGCTAGCACAGAACAGGCTAACGAAGAACAGGCTAGCACAGAAGAGGCTAACACAGAACAGGCTAACGAAGGACAGGCTAAAGGGGAAAAGAAGTGCTCCAAAAGCAGGCAGCGGACTCCTGCCCACAACATTATGTGTAAATACAATCAAAGCTAACATGGTAGCCTAGCAATAGCAGCAAAAATGGCTCCTGGTCTTTAGCCAAAGACTAAAGAGAAATCCTCCAACCGCTAAAATCCATTTTGTTTCCATCTGGTGAAGCAGGAAGTTGCTCTCAGTGTCTTCAGAGGTTTTTGTGTCGTTTCCTTCAGTGGTTCTTGGTGCAGCGCCCCCACAGGCCAGGAGGGGAACAGGCTGCTGCTTTTGTGTTCTTATTGTAAAGCAGTTTGTGATACTTGTCTGTTAAAAGCTGGTGAAGAAATAAAATTTACTTACTTGCTAATATTAGTTTAAGCTACAAACTGTTTTATGTGGGAAATAAACTCTGAATAAATGTTGGATCTGTACATTTATTTGAAATTATTTTAGATTAATATCAGTACTGGTCGTTTTGGCCCTTTGTCATTTCATTCCTCTGGAGGCTGAAAGGGGGTCTGGGTAGGGGTT